GTTAGTGACGAGGAGAGGAAGGGGTGAAGGAAGAGAATGAAATAGAAAAAGAAGGAAGAAAAAAAAAAGAAAAAGTATATATATAATAAGTATATAGTTCGAAGTAAGTAACGTTATGAATATTCTCGATTTTCTCGAAACTGATAGAAGTTTGACAGTTAGGAAACACAGTTGCTAATCACAATGCCAAAGTTAAATAGGTCGCTAGTGATGTCGATTATCAGTGACGTTAGAGAGGTAAACCGCGTCAGTGAGGAGATACGTTCGAGTTGTCTAACAGATTCCATCGAACATCCTTCATGGAAATTTCCAACGAAACTCGCAAAAAATGTACATCTTATGGAAATTTTAGAAAAACACGATGGCACCGCTAGGGAATTGTACATTCTTCTCTTGGAACTGGCTTACGACAGGTCGCTTTTATTTTTTGAGCTTTCACAAATTCTATTACCCTTCTTCTTCTTCTTCTTCTTTCGGCTATCATCATCTGACGCTTCTTCTTCCATTTTCACGAGTTTATGTCAAAAACAGATACGCTTCGAACCCCGTTAGATAGTTTTTCCTTTGACACTTTTACGACGCCTGTATTATACACGTATGAACGCATATTATTTATAAAATATATATATATACAAACTAACGTTCTAAAGTATTTAACCATCATGGAAAAAGTAATATTTCACAAGACTTTGAATGAATAAAATTATTTTTTATTAAAGAAAAATCATTGATTTATATTAATTAATGGAATTTTAATATTAATTTGTGTATGATGATTTGAAATTTTTCTTTTATATATATATGTATATGCTCACACACATTTATTATTTAAAACAAATTTATAAAGTTTTCAAATATTTTGTAACCAGTTATTTGTTCCGATCTTTATTAAGGGTGTTCCTAAAATGAAACGATGATGATTATAATTATCAAATATAAAACAGGTGTGTGTAGCTGTCATAAGAATAATTGTTTTATTTTGTTATACAATTAATAATTTTATTATCAACATTTATTTATTTATTTATTTCATTTAAACATATATTTAGCACGTGAATGAACACAAAGTTTGAATCAATTATTTCCAAATAATTGATCAATTAGAAATTTAATCTGATGTTGTTGTGAATGATATTGAGTAAAGTAAGGACCAACACATAAATTGCTGGGAAAGTATCAATACATATTAATCCGGATAATGTATGGCGTTAAGTTTAATTAATCGATTAGTTAGTTGATCTCGAAATCCTTTAAACATATTGAAATTTATTAATATATTTTAATTTTTATTAAAATTACAATTAATATAAATATAGCAAATGTCTGTGGTAATTACTTTGATTAGTAATTTTTCCAATATACAACCGTATCAAGGTTTTAATTTGTTTTTGAAAATTATCATTATAAGTACAAGTATAGCCAAATACCTTTGAACGATAGTTTATATAGGATGTTTCAAAAATACAGGTACGATAAAAATTATCTCAAAAACAAAATATTTTTCAACACAAGGTTTCAGGCAAAAAAGTAATACTATCTTTAAAGATCTTTAAAATGAATTTTTTTTTTACAGCAAGCATAAATTTTTTGTTCAAACGATTAATTTCAATCCTTCATTTCATTCATTATCCAGATAATTATTTGTAAATAATTACGGAAAAACGTGCTTGCAATATTTTCTTATAAAAAGCTTTCTTCCTTGTTCGCTAACTGCAACAGAATAGAACGAACGCTTGCCGATATTCGATAACCGATACTCGATATATATTCTGTGATATGTTTATGTGTGTATCTATACACGCGCGTATACATATGTGTGACCCAAACTGTACTACTTTATTCTACTTATCGTATACTAGACTATACCAAAGCGTATATATTAAAAAGTTGGGGTTCAGACAGTTTGTTATTGGCGAAATAACTTTACCAAGGACCAAACGGTCGAACAGTATTAAATTGTAGTATTTAAATAAAAAGTATTTCAATATATTGACTTATAGGAAAATTTTGTCATGTTTATAATGAAAAATATAAAAAAAAAAAACATCTTGTTATTTAGAGTTCCAGAAAATCGATATAGAAAACATACACGTTTGACGTTTTCTTTTATTTCACAACAGGATCCACTTCGTTCTACGTCTTATCTTGGATTTCATAGACGAGTATCCTCTCATAGAAGAAGAAGAAAAAAAAGAAGAAAAAAAAGAAGAAGAAGAAGATATCTCGAAAGAATCGACGAACGTGAAAAGACCGAATTACGTGTCACTCGCACACATCGTGCATCTTCTATGGAATCGTTTGAAGATTATATCAGAATATCTTTTAAAAAGACACTCGGTATAAAAAAATCGGACGTTAATTGATTAATTCGAAAATAAAATTACGCCTAAATATTATTCGATACAAAATGATTGTAGGATCCAAAAAATAGAACAGAGATCGAAGATTGGCACGAAAAGAATTTCGTTTCTAAAGGAGTTCAAGCAAGTTGCGAGCTTAACTATTGCGAAAATTGTAGTATTGCGAGTGAGATTATTTTACGAATGATAAATTCGATCAATAGAGCCTTCCATGAGAATAAATTAATTTCTGCCGTGGCTAAAGAAAGGTATTATTTCCGGCAAGTAGAGTTCGAACGGATGCGTCGTTGACGATCCTTTTCATACAGAGACCTCTTAAAAGGAGATATTTACGAGAAGACTCAATGGGCCGTGATGAGGAAACTCGCGGCAGCCATTGAGATGGACATTAAGACGACTTTCGAGATGATGCAGGAGAATTATATGAAAAGGGAAACGATAAAGAGGAATTACGAGGAGGAGAAAAAGAAAGTGAACTTCCTTGAAACCGAATTGTCGCGTAAACGAACAGACTTGGATCTTTTGCGAGCTGAACATTTTCAACTCGAAGGGAAGATCCAAAATAGTACGGTTCTATTCTATTTACCTAGTTACTTACTACATCGTTTCTTCCTTCTCTTCGTTCTTCTTTTTCTTCTTCTTTCACAGTAGTCAGGTTATTCATTCTCTACAAACTTTTTCCCTGGATAATATATATATAAATAGCCTGGGAGAAAGTAGGAAAAGCAGAACTAGAGAACAGGGTTATCGAATTATTGAGTAGTCGAACTACTCGATCGATCGATCATCGTCGAACAAGCGTGTGACCGTGATCGTTGATCGCCTTCAGTCTCAACAGACCTTATTTTTTGGAAACTTGTCGAAGTAGAATAAAACAAAAAAAAAAAAACAAGAAGAAAAAGAAGAAGAAAAATAGAAGGACGAAGTAAAAGTAGAAGTAGCGAAGGGAAAGCAAGAAAATTTTATTACTTGCTACGCGCGTCTCTGCCCGGGGTCTTGTAAGCGAAAAGAAAACTCGTTCCCTCGCGATGAATAAAACATTCTTCCTACTTATATTTCGTCTTCGCACGTGCACCACTCGTCGTGTTAGAAAAATAATTTAACTGAACTTTAACGGAACTTTTGCACTATATCGGTATAGAGATATTTATCAATATATTTAAATACATTACAAACGATTATCACATTTTTTCTATGTTTGAATTGTCAAATAATTGTTATAAATATATACAAGGTGTTTGAGAATTTTTCGAACAAAACTTATTTTACTCTCGAAAATAAACAAAATAATGTTATATAAAAAGCTTTATTCAAAAGTTATACCAAAAATTGGAAATGTGGGGTTCAAAACGTAACCCATTTACGCGACTATAAGTATGACACCGTTGTAGTATGTTGTTTATTCATTTCTGCAACTACATTTCTAATTTGTTCCTACCCATAACATCAAGTGTAACTATCTCAATTGCATAAACTTCTTGTTTCAATTTTCTGTACAAATAAAAATCATTTTTAAGATTTCTATTGCATGATTATCAACCATTACAACTAAAAGTACCACCAGTATTTTGTCAAAACAAATAATTGTAGTTAAATGGTAATCCAACATACGCAAAATTTGTGAAAAATTGGTTAAGTGAAGATTACCCTCAAAGAAGGATTGAACAAAACTAAACAGTAGCTCGATCATTTAGATCATTTAATTTCAGCCCCACTACATTTTCATTTGTTGATAAAACTAACAATAAAACAACAAATTATACGCTTGATGTTATGATGGTACGAATTAGGAATACAATTGGAGAAATTAATTGAAATCGACATGAAATTCGTCATGTCAGAAACAGCATATTACTTACAGTGGTGTCAAACTTGTATTCGTTTTAGGTAACCAACATTGTGAACAAAGTTTGAATAAAGTTTTAAATGACCTATGTTTGTATAACATTTTTTGTTTATTTTTGGGAGTAAAATACAATCGCAATGTTTGTACGAAGAACCCACAGAAAACAATTGTTATCGATATATATATATTGTGAAATCGAGTACTTCTATGCTAAATAAAATATGCATTCGTGTGGAATTTGATCGAATGGCCCTGGGTAACTCAATGGTTAGAGTAATCGCTCGGAAAACGGAAAATCTGGGTTTGAGTTGATGGTCCGGTCAGTCCAACGGTCAAACTTTTTCACAAATACAACAATATACTTGCAACATACAAACAATTATCAAATGATTTGATATTATATCATTATTTATATGTTATGTTACATAGTTACACGTGATTTCGATCTGTTGAAAGAAAAAAATATTCAAACGGAAGAGATGAAAAAAAGATTAATCCTCGAAGTGGAAAATAATCGTATGAAAATGGAACGTACAGGTAATCAAATAAACTCCGTCTGAATTGTTATAATATTATCATAATCGTTGTTGATCTATTCGCGTTTCATTTGAGAACAATTTTATCACGAGGATGGTTAAACATTCGAGAATAGGAACCACTCAAAATATTCGAATACTCGAGAGCAATTCGAGTAGTCTGAAAGTGGTTTGTCGTTTTCAGGCCTTACTCGAAATAATTCGAGTTACTCAATTTCGTTGAAAGCTTAAACCAACGTTTACGAATCATTGCGATAATTTACGTGTTGACACTGTTACTATCGAAAGTCTATCAAAAGCTTTAATCATTTGAAATTTTTGTTTAAAAAATGATTATCATTTTTCATCAATAAATTTCTGACAATTCCTATAATGATATTAGTTTTTAATAATAATTATCAAAATATGACACTCAAAGGTGTCAAGAGATAGCATTTGATTGAAATAAGTATAAAGTAATAGAAATAATGTTAAATAACATGTGAAGCATCGGAAAAATCCAAATTAAATGAAATCGACAGATCGGTAATATCGACGTAATTACTGAAAATATGATCGTTGACGTGTTTCACTTTCTTGATGAAAAAGGCAATACGGTTGATTGTAAGAGCGAACGCGTTTCGGAAGATAAATTGAAATCTTACGAATGAGGAGTTGAGACAAGCGAGACAAGGAAAGAAAAATCGATAAAGAGAGAAAGAAAGAAAAGAAAAAGGAAAATATAAAAGAAGGAAAAAGAGTGAAAAAGTGAAAAAGTGAAAAAGAGAGAAGCTGTTCGATGAAATTTCTCTTCTTGAATAAGACGATCGCTTCCCTTTCCTTCAATAAGCAAATTCTCTTATTTTTCTTTTTTTTTTCTTTCTTTCTTTCTTACATCTATATCTCATCACTCGGGGGGTGGGGGGTGGGTTTTTCTTATCGCAGCAGAGTCATGGGACATTTTGCAAAGTCAGACCGTGAGCCTGGCTGAGAATAAATTGGAACTAGAAAACACCGTGAGAAAACTAGTCGAAGAAAAGAAGATGGTCGGTAATCGCGATGCGTGTCTCGAGACAGAAAGAGCTCTTAGGATCTTGCTGACCGAATTGGAGAGAGAAAATGATTCGGTAAGTCAATTGTATGGTATGGTAGAAAGAGATGAGTGTTGAAGAGGGGAAAGAGGAAAAGGGTTGAACAAGGTTCCTATGAGAACAGTGCTCCCTGACGGGAGATCATCTCTATTGCTCGTGACATTTTGACATGAGAACGTGGTCGAAATTCGTAATATCGATTGAACATATATATACTATATATGTGTGTTACGTGTACTCATATATGTATATAACAAGTACAGTACATAGAAATATATAAAGAGAAATATATTATATATATACGTTTCTCTGTGTAAAATAATAAAAGTAAAAGAATTTTTCAAGTCGAAAATATATTTATTATTATATATATATAAATTATTAGTCGAAAATATATTTATTATTATATATATATAAATGAAATTTCTTAAATACGTTTACCGACGAACGTACCTTTTATTTTAGATAAAAATGGAATACCGTGTTAAAGTAAAAGAATTGGACAGAAAGTTGGAAGAAATGAAAAATCGTGAAATCTTAAAAGAGTACGATACGGAGAGAAATGAAGAAGGATTATATAAGGAAACGATATTAATGCCAGGAGATGATCCAGAATTAGATATGACGCGACAACTTATCACAAATCGTCAAAAAATCGAACTTCTTCAACGACAAAACGAGCGCCTGTCGAAGACGTTGAATCGTTTGAGAGAGTATCGTTTAACGACAATAACGACCACCACAACTACCATGACGACAACGACGACAACGACAACGATGAAGATGAAGACAACTAATACAACGAAAAGTCTTCTCAAATGATCTCTTAGATCTCTTTTTAGGCGTTCACGGATTTGCATGTTCTTTGTAAAAGATCCTGATAAATCGTTCGAGATATCAAAGGTACGCGCGATAATGTACCAATGAGGTGCAAGTAATTCGTATCAAAAAGCTTTCTTCGATAACTATCTTAGCTATTCTACTTCAAAATTTCTTTTCGTTATTTTTATCCTTATTTTCAAACGGCACACTCGGTGACAATAATTCTTCCTTAAAAAATGCAAGATGAAAAAAAAAACGGAAGGAAAAAAGGAAGAAGAAAAAAGAACATTGTCAAAGCACTGAAAAAGCGAATAGAACGAATAGACCAAGCGAATCTCGATGTATCAAAAAGTTTTAATCATCTCGGGTAATTACGAACTATCAAGGTAGTCCTAACTTTTATGCTTGTTCCTTCTCCCTCTCTCTCTTTCTCTTTCTTGATGATAGTACTAATAAATTATACCGTCAGACTTTGCTCGTATCCAAAGTTCTTCGAAGCACGTTCGACTTCCGGCATCTGGCTCGTCCCTTAGTTCCCATAGTCCGATCGAGATCAAACTGGAACATTGATTTCACGGCTCGAAAATATTCTAAGAAACTTCGTTTCCCTCGAGTTTAGATTTCAACGCTTTTCTAGCATCTTTTCATATACGTATATACTTACTTACCTATATATATATATATATATATGTGTGTGTGTAGGGGTATGTATGTATGTACCTACTCGTTTCGATTGAGTTTGAGAAATTCGGCTAAATAAACCTCATCCAAGCTCTGATAGTATAAAACAACTTGTTGATTTGGCACCGTTCATAAGTTTCCCTTGAATAGCTATGTATGTATGTATGTATGTACGTAAGTACATACATCTTACCTACAAATGTATACCAAAAAAATGTCCTCGAATTGAAGGTAAAGGGAAAAATGGGAAATTGACTTTTACGGAAAAGAAAATAAGAGAACGTTTGTTCCCAAACCTTTTTATTATTCGTACGTGGCTCTCATCACTCGTACATAATAAATAAAAGGAAGGTTTCTCGGTGTTTTAGAAGAAAATAATTAAATTCGTTCTTAACAATATGTATGTATGTATGTATGTATGTATGTATGTACGTATGTATATACGTATGTATGTATGTATGTATGTATATACTCCAACGTAAACGTATCGAGCGAGAACGATTGGAGAATAAATTATTGAACGTGCGAGCGTGCCTATATATACATGTTATAATATTAATAATAAATATAATTAAATACATATCTTTTTATTTTTCTCTCTTTCTTCTTCTTTTTATTAATTTTTTTGTTTGTTTGTCTTTCTATTATATATATATATATATATTTATAAATGTATACGCACACACGCGCACACGTAATAATGTAACTTCATTGAAATATATTAATTTAAGTACGAATAATTACACTCCACGACATAACAGTATTGTATATAATACAAATGTGAGCTTTTTTTTCTTTTCTTTTCTTTTCTGTTTATAACTTTTTTTTTTCTTTTTTTCTTTTGTCTTACTTTTTTTCTCCTTTCATTTTTATAATTACAATAACTATGGAGAGCGACGGATCCATCGTGATCTCTCGAATCATAATGAACAGGTGAAAAATATAAGGGGAAACGATCGAACGCGAAATTGATATACAATATAATTAAAATAAACGCGATAATATGCGATAATAAATAGGACGAAGGAGCCTAGAGTCCGGCTCTTCCCTTCGTCCTTAACTTATCTCTCTCTCTCTCTCTCTCTCTCTTTCTTTTTCATTCCTTCTTTCTCCCTTTCATCCTTCCTCACTTTTTATTTCTTTAGTTTTTTCCTCTCTTATCGAATCTTAACTTTTTCTTTTTTGCAATAAAATTTTATATTGCGAGAGAGAGAGAGAAGGAAAGAGAAACCTAGCACGTGACCAACCAACCCATGACTCAACTAACATAAGATATCTTCTTTTCTAAGCCGATATTAATTTCATAAATTCTACGTTATCTCGTCGAACTCTAATCAATTAATTAAATGAAAGAGATTAAAAAAAAAAAAAAAAAGAAAAAAGGTGATAAACCGTAACCGTAAAAAGATTGTCGAGAGAATTCAAAGAAAATACTGACAAACAAATATACATAGAGATATAGAAATAAAATGAGAGATAAATCAAGAAAACAAAAAAAAATCAGAGAGTATTCAATATTTTTATACATTCTTGTTCTTATTTATTATTTTCTATTCCTTTTTTTACTTTGTTCGAAGAAAATTCGAATTATTTTCACTCTCTCTCTCTCTCTCTCTCTCTCTCTCTCTCTCTCAGATGAAAGAATAAACGTCAAAGATTCGAAAAGGAAAATTTGTTTTATCGTTCATATACTACCCGCAGCAGCACCGATTTCTCTCGTTACTTTTTTCTATTGCATTATGACGAAACGAAATGAAGATATAAAAAGGAAAAAAAAAAAAAAGAAAATAAAAAATCGTGGTATAAATTTACGGAATATCTTCCATATTCTGTAAAACGTAAGACCAAGACTGCATTGATTGATCGATAGGATGAGTAGTAGAACATGAAAAAAAAAAGAGAGACTATATATGTGTATATACACATATAGAATAGAAATAAATTATATTGTGATAACAAATTAGAAGAGAAAAACGTGTGTCTCTCGGCGATTCGAATCCTTCTCGTTGGAGAACTTTTCTTTTTATATATTTTTTCTTGTTTCCAATTACCCATCGAAAACCTTATCATTGTAATTAACATTATTATCATTAATTTATATTATCAATATATATAATAATAATAATAATAATAATATAAACTATGATCTCACCAGAATATGGTAATGTTGCATCGATTAAGATGCATTTCGAGTGACCAAAAAATAGACCCTCATTTTTATACTCGTCAGACGACTCCTTTCTTCGCAATATATATAATAATAATAATATATAAGATATAATATATAATAATAATAATCATAATAATAATAATAGTAGTATTAATTGTCATAATAATAATAATAATAATAATAATTAGCTTCGTTTGATTCCCTCATTAGATATACCCGAAACATACACCATGTATTTACATCGATTTTCTATCGAGTTTAGCCAACGGAATTTCTTCCCTATGGAATAGTCTTCACGTAACATTCCTCGTTATTGTTAACGAAGAGGATGAAATAAAGGAGAAGACAGAAATAAACAAAAACAAAAAAAAAAAAGTGAAAAGTAATTAATTATCGAGAGAGAACGACACAACACTTTCTCCCGATTAAAATGAAAATTTAAGAAGAAAAAGATACAATTAATATGTATTTATAATATAATTTTTATATTAATCAAAAAGAGAAGAGCAGTAATTGTACAATAAACTCTCACTCTCTCTCTCTCTTTCTTTTTCTTTTCTTCTTTCTCTATTTATTTATCTTTCATCGAAAAACGAAAGAAAAATAAAAAAAAGTTGATAAAAAGACGTATAAGTCCTGTCATTTTCTTTTTACTTTGGAAAATAAAAGAGGGGAACAGAAAAAAGAAAGATAGAGAGAAGACAGAAAAAGAAATAAAAAAAGAAAAAAATAAAATAGCAAAGTTGAATTAATGTTCTTTTTTTAAGGAGATTCCTTTTCGAAACGACAAGAACCAGAACCTCGGCGAAGAATTTGAATACGATTGGTAACGGCAAATGACGTCTTCATCTTCATCTTCATCTTCATCTTCATCATCATCATCTCCGTTTTCGTTTTAGTCTTCGTATTTCTTCATCGTCATCATCGTCATTCCTTTCCAAAAGTTTTATTTCTCGTTTCGTTTATCACGTGATTCTAACATAACTTATAAATTGTAACTTGAAGGATTTATATATAATGCAGGAAAATGGGGGAAAATATATATTGACAAAGAGCAACCATCGTTAAGGATGTTGCCAGGACACGAGTTAGACTTTGTATACAAAAGGAAATAAAGTGAAAGCAAGAGAAAGAGAAGGAGAAGGAAAAAATAATGAGAAAACTAGATTTTGTGTAAAAGGGGTGTAAACAGAACGAACAAACGAGTGTAAACGAAGTACGTTAGACTACGAAGAAGAAGAAAAAAAAAGTAATAGAATCGATATTATCGACTTGGAATTGGAGATACTCTATCTATCTCACTCACACTCGTCGTATTCTCGAAAAAAACATGCTCTCTCTTTCTTTCTATCTCTATATCTATCTTTCTTTTTATTCCCTTACTTTTACGGAACATCAACCGGAGATTCTTTCTCCCGAAGAATGAAAAATCCTTTGGGGTGAATGTCGATTATGCGACAACGTCCTTGGTGAATCGATTTTAAGGGGAGTCGAACTAGGGCCGGGTGGTGGTAGTTCTCTGAAGAAACCAGAAAGGGTTGTAAAATGAAGAATTGAGGTATAGGGTGGTATAAGGACTAAACGAGTAGCATGATCACCGCGTTCTGATTCTAAATGGGGGGGGGGGGGAAGAGAATTCAAGATCGAAAAACGTGCATTTTACTTTATCTGAATCCTTTTTTTTCTCTTTTTTTATTTTTCTCTTCTCGTTCGATTATTAAGGACAGTGACGTAATATTTTCTTTTCTTTTACTTTTCCTTTCTTCTATTTTTCTCTTCTCGTTCTCGGCTGGAAATTAAGATTGAAGAAATAATAGGATCGAACAAGTTCCTAGATTCCTTTCTTTTTTGTTTTTTTATCGCAATCTCGATAACAAAAGCAAAAAATGATCGATTGTCGCGTCGCGTCGCACGGAAATTTGCTAATCAGACACGTTAATTGGCTACCCGTAATAACGCTGCCGTGCTTTAATCGCAAAATTGGTTTTAAAAGTGCATTCATTTTCAGCCTTTCAAAAAAAGAAAAAAAGAAAAAAAAACAAACAAAACGACATCTCTACGTATTCTTTTTTTCTTTTTCTCCTTCATTTTACCTTACTCTCTCTCTCTCTCTTTCTCTTTTTTTTTCTAAACTTTTCTCTTCTTGTTCCCACCGTTGCCACCCTCTAATATTTTCTTTGCTTTGACCCCCCCCCCTTCCCCATCGATATCATTTATCTTTGTTTTTTCTACCTTTTTTACTTTTATTTTTATTTCTTTTTTTTTTTAACAAGGTGCAACGAACAAAAGATGCGTCTTCAGAAACGATTTGCAAAATTTGAAAGAAAAAAGTTAGGAACTCTGTTTTTTTTTCCTCTCTTTCTTTCATTGTTAATCTTCTTTTTTTAACTATTCATTTACTTTTTCTTACATTCGCATTTTAATTGTCGACCCGAAAATGAGTTTAACCTAATTTCTTCAGGAATATTAAGCTCGACCTACGCGCTAACGCGTGTATTATAAAGTTTTTATGCTTTCACTATTATTATATATTATTATTATTATTATTATTATTATCATTATAATTATAGTTAATATTATTATTATTATTATTGCTACTATTTATTATTATTATTGTTATTATTATTATTATTAATTATATATATATCACTATTTTATTAGGAGCACCGTGTTCTTGTTAGAAGCGCGACTACTCTGCAAGCTCAAAAGCTCTGCCTTTTAAGAAGCCCCGGGCTGCGGTTGTCTTTTATGTTTTCTTTCGGCTTTAGCGCGAAGGCGGAAGTTCGTGTCGCTTGTTGGCTCGTTTTCTTTTTTTTTTGTCAGTTACTTTCTTTCTTCCTTTGTTTCTCTACTGCAAGTGTACTTTTTTTTTTTATTTTTTTTATTTTATTTTATTTTATATATATTGTTCGTTCTCCGTTCGTTTGTTCGTCTGTCTGTCTGTCTCTGTTCTCAATAGGACGACACTTTTCTACTATTTTTGCAATATTACTTTTCATTATTTATCTAATTTTAATTCGATTTGAATGTGTGTGTGTGTTCACGGTAGAAGATTAATCGCCGGCAGAACAGATTAGGATTGGAGCCTTAGGCCCACTTATTGACGATCACTTCCCCTACTGTAACATAATATAAATAATAGGTTTGTTATTAATGACGAAAAAAGCAAAAAAAAACAATATCCCGAACTATCGATGATGATTACGAAAAAAGAGAGATGGAAAGCGTCAATGTGTCGCGTGTACGTGTACGGGAACAAATGCGTCAATGCATTCATTTTTATATATATATATACGCACGCGATCTATGTATATATATATATATGTGTGTATGTGTGTGTGGGTATGTAAGATTCCAAGGTAAAGGATCCGATCATAAAAAGAGACACGTGTCTTCCTTCCTTTCGTCGTACGATCTAACTCACACACACACACATACATACACACACATACACACACTGTGCAGATGTTCTTGGCTCTTTCGGATCAACGAACAGAATATAGAGGATACTAAAGAAAAGACAATTTCTTTTTGTTCGGTTCTATATAACGAAGAGATCTCGTATATACGTTAATAAAATAACGTACACACACACACATACACGTTCGATGTCCTTAGCTGCTTTCTGATGATCATAACTTTGACGGTATACTCATCATTGCCTGTTTATACGTGACTCTCTTTCTCTGCTGTATGTAATACACACAACACAACAATCATCCTTATATTTCTTCTTTCTAGTCCTTTCTCCGATATTGACGGACATATGTTCTCTTTTTAGTGTATATGTATGGATGTACAATGGTATATGCGTATCTTCTTATACGTTCGCTTTCATTTTCGGATTTTCTCATCATTTTCGAACGGCTTACCTCGTTTTTCTTGACTATACTCCTTATCTTCATATATATTTTTGTATAGATGAACGTATGTATATATAATATGTGTGTATAGATGTGTGTGTGTTGAATTGCCGTCTTTCGAAGATTTCACGCGTCCGCTTTATTCGAGGATGTTCCCCCCGCTCGCCGTATCTTTTTTAATATTTTATTTTGTTTGTTATTTTTCCTTTTCTTTTTTTTTAAATGTGAATTGTTCTTTACTCGTTCGTGTATCTCTCTCCGACGCATCTCGAGCTTTATTTCCGCACCGTCACTGTTGGTGCCACTGCAAACATACGACGAATAAAAGAATTATTATTAACGAGGAAACAAACTCGTACAATCCTGATTAGAGTTTTGCATAGCATTGCATTGCATTGCTTTAGTTTAATTTTATTATATTTTTAGGCCAGAGCGTGCAAGATATCGAGCAAAAATTAGATATGTGTGTGTATGTATGTGTGTGTGTATCTATATATATGTATATATGTAATTAAGAAATAGAAAAATAAAGAGAGAGAGAGAGAGAGAGAGAGAGAGAGAGGAAAAGAGATAAAAAGTAAGCCTGGACCGAAGGTTTGTTGCTGGTGGTGTTGGCGGTTTAAAGTTGCCGATATTAGAGTCAGAAAAGCGTGTTAGAGAAAATTTCTTTGAAGAGAGAGAGAAAGAGAGAGAGAGAGGACGAGCCTTGATTAAAACTCCTGCTGGTTACTCTTGCAACGCGATGCGAAAGCATGCCGACGTTGCTTAACGTGAAAAATATTGGCACTCGCGTTAGTCGAGAAAGCCTCTTGAAAACGAATGAAAAAGAAAAAGAAAAATAGAGAGAGAGAAGAAAAAAAAAAAAAAGAAAAAGAAAAACACGAGGAAAAGCTGCTGGTTAAGGATATGAGCTTTTTTTCCCCCGAAGAAAAAGTAAAGCTTTTTGACAAACCATCGGTACAACCCCCTTTTTTTCCTCTCTCTCTCTCAAATTCTCTTTTTCTCTTTTGAATCGTCTAATTGAAAGAGAGAAAGAGATCCAGTGAGAAAGAGAGAGATAGAGAATAAGTAGGAATGTGTTTGCTTAGAAGCAGTAGTGCAGCTTGATGAATGAAATGAATCTTTTTGCTTCTTTTTTTTTCTTTTTTTTTTTTTTTATCTCCATTTCCCCATTTTTTCTTTCTCTTTATGCATCAATGGACCCTACGCAAATTCGCGTATTATAACGTGCACACGCACTCAGCTAGCAAGCCAGCTGTCTATTGCGTGTAAATATGTATATATGTATGTGCAAAAATTATTTCAAGAGATAAATTGAAGAATTAAAATCAACGTATATATATATATATATGTATATATATACATAAACATATAATAAATGTAAATATTAAAATTCGCTTACCTTAGATAATGTCAGTGATAAATCCTCATACTCTGATTGGATTCGCTAGACAAACCAAGTTCCAAGAAGACCTAGCGCGGTTTGATCTTTTCACACACCAGCAGGCAGGGATTAGCAAAAAGGTGTCGGTGGTGGTCGTGGTGGATTATTTTGCTCGTCGAGGGAATAAATTTCCTTGGTTAGAGCATTCCAGGTTGACAAGACCGATACGGTAATTACCTATGCACTGGGATTTTACCGTATCGACTTTCCAAGAGAAGTCATGCACAAAAAATCAAACAACAAATCCGGGGGAACCAGGGTGTTAACAGGCAGCATGTAATCATAATCCATGGAATATCGTGGATATTGTTACACATCAATGAACAACGATGATGACGACGACGACGACGATGACGACGATGATGACGATGACGATGACGACGACGATGACGACGACGACGACGACGACGTCGATGATGTTAACGATGAAAATAATGATGACAATGACGATAATGATACTTATCCATCGTTGATATTTCCGAATTCCAACTGATAGTCTTTATTCTTGATTCATGATCTTGCGGTATATATATAAAAGGTGAAATAATATAAATGAGAAGGAGGGAATCCAGGTGAGAATAGTCAGGCTATTCTGAAACTGAACTATGTTAACGAAAAAAAAAAGAAAAAAGAAAAACGGGAATTAAGCCAGCTAGCGATAAGTGATTATTTCAAGTTCTCTTTTTGTTTTTATTAGTAGGCCGATCATTGTGACTTGGAACACACGTATCATTAATAACACATGACGTTTATTATAACAAGCAAGATTATTCTTGATCGATTATGATACTCGATCATTTTTACTTGTTATAACATCATCTTCATTTTCAATCTTTAATACTTAACCAACCCCGTACGCGTTACAGTCAAAATTATTGTACGCTGTAAATCGCGTATTTTTTTTCAATACTACGCGCGGACTAGTATTCATTACTTTAAAGACAAATAATATTTATAAATAATTTGTGAATGTACAAATTTATAATAAAGCAGAAAAAAATTATTCGATAAATTGATGAGAGAAAAATTCAAAGCTCAAAATTAATCGATAACAACGACAAAAATGAAAACAGAAAATGCAAGTCACGCGTTGTTAAAGTAAAAATGGAAGATCTCCCCGATCGGTCATCTAACGATTTATTTTTAAAGCGGGAAAATCTTCCTATCCGATTGGTTAAGTATTCATTTACAGATTGTTCACACATTTCGATTTTTTCAATCGTATCAATCATTTTTCCGAATCGGTATCAACCGTTTGTATCTATTGTACGTATTTATTATATTGTATATGTATATGCAAAGTGATTCAACTAAATCAGATTACCTAAATATCATATTTATCATTTTTTACAATGATATTAAAAAAACTTCAAAGGAAAAAGTTGCACTATTGCAGGAAATCAATTTTATGATTGAATGAATTTTTTCTTAAGAACAAACATTTCGACAAACCGTAATGTTAATATCTACAGAATAAATGATCAAAATATAATTATGCAGACCACTTTTATTCATTTTTTCATGTTCTACTAGAATATCTATTTAAAAAGAAAACAAAGTTGACCTTCGAATCTCGTAAAAAAATAACCTTGGAAAAATATTGTTTCAACCATTAAATTCACCTCCCCTCTCCCTCCTTTCTCCCGGCAATAGTATTACGTTTTCCTTTGACGTTTTTTAATACGATTGTAAACAAAAGAGATATTCAAATGTTTTCTTTATCGTAAATCACCCTGTATATATACATAATTAATCTTTGATGATAATGTTTACACGATTCGGTTTAATACGGTTGAAACCAGTACCGGGCGTACGGTGTGCACATAAAATACTTGCGTCATTGCAAAATACGGTTAATTAACCAGTTTGGAAAAAAGACTGATTCGATACCTTGCGAACAAGCTCCTCCTACTATTTTTTTTTAAACCATTTTTTTCCTTTTAATATTAATCTTTTAATTATTATTATTATTATTATTATTATTAATATTAAATTATTATTCTTTTTAAATATCATTATTATTATTATCATTATTATTATTATTATTATTATTATTATTATTGTTGTTGTTGTTGTCATCGATGCACGATATAGATAAATAATACGATATAAATAAACAATATTTACTAGACATAACTCGCGCCATATTACGCTAATTTTATTGATTTTTATTATTTCATTAATAATCGGGCGCGCGAAACACTCTCTTTTGGAAAAAAGAAGGTGAAAAGTGTGATTACAATTTGTTGTATACGTTTTTTTTTATATTACCGCCATTGAACAACGCGATAATTTATAATCGATTCATTCGTAATCTTATTTCGCATGAACGATCGTTATTTTATTTTTTCCTTTTTTTTATTCTTTTTATTTATTTATTTATTTATTTATATATTATTATTATTATTATTATTGTTAAAAACAGCTACCTCCTGTTTCTCGTGTATCAGGGAAGAAAGCAACCGCTTAATCGGAGGATCTTTGTTTGTCATTCGATTCACATCGGTCGTTCACAAATTTTTGCATGGCATTAAACAAAATTGATTAATAAAAAACGAGATCTTGTTTTTTGTTTTCTACAACTTTCTTTTTTACTTGCTTAAATACTAATGCTACCAGCTCCTGCTGTTCTTCCCTCATCGATGGCACTCTATTATTTTATTAACTTAATTCATTTCTTTTTTTCATTTTAAAGCACGACCGCAAAGTGTTCCTTATGTTTTCGATATATCCAAAAAAAAAAAAGAAAAAAGAAAAAATAAAACAGAAACAGATTATCTTGGGAAATTATTTAAAGAAGACATTTAAACATTCTTCGAGACCTTTACATTTTGTATCAAAATCTAACAATAAATGTATATATATTATTTGTATGTGTGTGTGTGTGTGTGTGTTATATATATATAGATATCTAATTTACCGTTTATAAGACTGAATGATACTTGAAATGTATATAAAACATGATATTAATTACTAGTAATTAAGTTTTACAATCAATTCGATATGACATCTGATTAGAATAAAATATAACGGAAAGAAGAAAAAATTTGTTTAAATAATTAAAAATCGCGCAGGGGCAATATAATGAAATAAAAAATAAAAATAAAAAAAAAAGAAGCGAAAGAATGTTTAAAATAATAATATTAGCCGATTAATGGAGGAAACTTCATCGGTCGTTAATTATTTTATGTTGTTTAAACACAAATATGAATTATTTTTCTCATTTTCTTCTTCTATTTTTACTTTTAATTAATCGAAACGAGAACTCTCAAATAATAATAATATATTTGTCAAGAGAAAAAAAAAAAGAACATATCTAGAATCGAGAAAAAAATGCGAATAGTAATTCTAATTGTTTTATATGAATTAAATTAAACGACGTATCAATAGCACGATTTTTGATTGGCTATAGAAAATTGAGCCTACGCATACCGAGAGAAAGGCAGAAAGAAAGAAAAAAAGACAAAAATCAATACAAAAAATCGCGTAACACAAAACGAAACGAAACGAAACGGAACGGAACGAGGAAGAAAAATGATCGTGGCAGTTTAAAAAGATCTTAAAAAGATATCCGATATTCGTTTGAATAAACGACACCGTTGATTTATCGGTCGTGCTAATTAATTTGGCTGTTCAATCGCATTTCCGTAATTACATAATTATCCTACGTGTATGTGTAAATGTGGATGGGTGGTGATAGTTCTTTTTTTTTCTTTTTTTTTTTCTCTCTCTCTCTCTTCGTCTTTCATTATCTTTTCCGTCCTCGTGTGTGCGTACCGCTCGCATTTTAAACTCGCGCCCCTCTCTCTCCGTTCTCATCTAATTAAGTTAAATTATGCCCATACCAAAGTATTACGCCTTAACCATTAATATAATTAATATATATATATATATATATATATATATATACTATATAAGTTGTCCACCGCGATTGATGACGGGCTTTAAATTGATTAAAAAACCCCGGTAACATATCTAACGCAATGTTTTAAATGTTTTATATAATTTATGTATAATAATATTATTACTCGCGCGTTGATGATAGATTTTTAATTCCGCGTATTTTATTTTTCCACTTCTATTTTCTTTTCATTTAATGAACTATTTTCTTTTCATTTAATTAACTATTTTCTTTCTATATATTTATTTATTAATTATTTGTACGACCGGCAACGAACGGTTCCGCTTTATACTCATAAACCACATATCGTCAGTCTTGTTGCGTTTGCAAATGTATATGTATGGAAAAGTGATTCGCATCGCAACGTTATTCGTGCACTTCTTTCTAACAACAGCTTCTTACCTTTATTAACCAGCTCTGTGTGTGTGTGTGTGTGATGTATTTATTTATATATAAAAACCCGGGATTGCAACGACTATAAAATAGTCAGAGACGCATTGAAAAAGCCCACACAAAATTAGGATAAACATTATCAATCTTTCTAAATTAATCGCGCATTTATATTTGTATATGGACGCGTATATATGTGTGTATGTATATGTTGTGTGTGGGGCATGTAAAATCTGGACCGGATTGTTTAACTCTCTTAAACGACTCCATCGATTTAAATGTTTCTAATCGAATACTCTCTAATTTTCCTTTTTTGTACATAGTAAACGTTATTATTAGGAACAATTCAAGCTAACAATAGAGTCATTTTGGATTCAGGTAACCGGTCCGGATTTGAGAACGGTGATGAGACATGGACCACTCAAGCTGACCTCGAACAAATTAACAATGTTTATTTTATCGCTAATTTATTATGTATACACAGAGAGACATACGCACGTACGATGACGACGATGACGACGACGACGATGACGACCACGACGACGACGATATAATGACACAACTTGACGGTCCACATCGCACACATAGATGATATACACAGTTACTAAGTGCGTAACGTGTTTTCTTTTTTTCTTTTTCTTTTCTTGTTTTTTTTTTTTGTATTTAAGGATTATATATATATAGAAATTTTATGCACATAAAAGTACGTACACGTTCGTAGAGAACCGAGTTATTAAAATTAATAATTAAGTGCAAGGTGTTACGATGACTTTGTCCTGCTGTGCCTGTCACATCTTTTTTTTCGTTTTTCTTTCTATTTATTCTCTCGTTATTTTTTTTTTTTTTTTTTTTTATATAAAAGAGATGTTTTACCGTACCACAAACATTTACTTCGTATACTTGAAAAGGTATCTACGTATATACGTATGAATTACTATGAGGGATGCGTCGATACAAACTAATATATATATATATATATCTATTTTTGATGATTTCAAATCTACAGATCTATTCGAATTGGCAAGGCAATAAATTTATAAAAACGCGATGTATAGAAATAAACTAACAACGAATGTTATATATATATATATATATATATATTTACATTATTACTTTGCAGATCTTGCGAAATGGTTGGAAACAAAAAAAAATCAGATTTGATTTTATTCTAAAACTGATAGACACAGCAGGATTGTTAAAATCGTTATCTTTGATTATCAGGAATTTGAGATACTATAGGATATGCTCTCTGTAGGACTGCATGCACTATCCCAATTAGAAGGAAGACACGTGACAATGTACGAGGGATATTAATAAAGGTTTCCATTAATCCAAACTCCATGCAAAGTTACTCTCTTGACATTTCAGCAATTTATCAGACAGCTCCCGTTTCGACCTCTTCACTGAAGCAGATACTCTTGATGCTAAAGAATCCATTAACATAGAATTTTATAATAAGCAGACAATCAAAAAATAAAGCATAGAATAATAATAATAATTAAAGAATTAGCGTGCTCGTTTAAAGTTAACCAAAGGAACGTTACGTGTGTGCAAAAATTTATATGTGCGTGCAAGTAAGGTTAACAACTCTTGCTGATATTACTATTTCGCTTAATAAAACATTTTTCTATCAATTTTATAGTTCCATTGATGTTCTTTAATTTGTTAAATTTAATAAGATATATTACTTTATTGAAAAGTTCATTGATAAATGAACATCGATGGAATTTTTTTAGAATAAATCAATACAAGTGCAATTAATAATGTGCCACGAATTTGGAAAGTTAAGTTACCGGACGAAAATGATACTGGAATGTGTACATCTCACCATTAAAATGCATGCGTGCAAAAAACAATGGGAAGGTTTCGGCTACACCTGATAAGAAAGAACACCTACGTGTATTTTCTCTCGGACAAACAAGTTAACATTTAAAGGCACTCGTAAAAAATAATTTAATAATAATTAATTCTTTGATTACGGCAAAGATGTGAGTCTCTTAATCACTCGAGCGGCCATTTAAGCCCACGTGATCATGGGACATATTTAAAGGTACGGTCTGTGTATTATGTGTATATATGTGATGCGGACTGGTGAGCCTTGGCGACGTATCTTTTTCTCTTTTTTTTTTCTTTTTTCTTTCTTTTCTTTTTTTTTTTTTTGTTTAATGGTTGTACTAACACCATGCACAACAGTCAAACTCGTTAAAATCTCACTTAAACGCACTTTGTTAATAACTTATCTTGACCTTCCCGCACCTTGGAGGGAAGAACTTTAGTTAAATGCATTTGCAAGTCCAAGAACTCAGTTATAAATGCTTTCCATAGGAAAAACATTGTTCGCTACACTAATCTTTGTTCACGGATGTTCTATATGGGACAAATATGCAATAGTCCAAAGAACACAGCCCACATTAGAACGATCCAATGCACGGTGTAAATTGGATTCTCACCATCTGTGATCTTTCTGGCAACAAACTTCAGGGTTTCGTCTAGAAGTACCACTGGAATGGAAAACTTCATAACGGTAACCCATTCTTCACCCGTTAAGGGAGTCACTTGGAATACAGACTGAAATAAGCGCAACACGTAATTAGTAGTGATCGATAAATCGTTAATTATTTATATCATAAATTATTATTACCGAAAGGACGTCGACGTAAAGAATGACAAAGTGGAGTGTGAAGGAAAGGGCCATGGAGGCGATGAGCCACATGTTGGACCAAGGCGGCATCGAGATGAGTGACTGATTCTCCGATAAACTAAGAAATTATCAAGAAATTCGTATACCACGTAATTAGTTTGAATTGATTAACACGTTAAGCGCCATGTCAATTACCAGTAACTAAAAGTATACTTTAGATTCGGGTTGATTCAGTTATCAGTAACTGACATTCTTGCGTATTTCTCGTATCGACAGTTTATAGTAACGTGAATGAAATGTTAAACAAAATAAGCTCGGCGCTTAAAGTGTTAAAAATAAAAAAAAAAAAGAAATATATTTTTCAAATAGAATCACAAATTTACCTATTCATAGCGTTCAACATTTCAATGGTTACAAGTACAGAAAGAGCCATGGTCATTGGATGAGGATCAGCAAAGATTTTGCAATTAACGCCTTTGAACTCGTCTCCACCACCGATGCAAGCCAAGTGATGAGTCTAAATTTGATTAAAATGATTTTTTTTTATCAAACAACACCGATCAGATATCTTTTCATTATTTAACTTATTGATAATTATTTACCAATTGATAATAATTCATTTGTGGTCCATTCGGACTATACAAGAACCACCACGCAGCTGATCCTACAGTAGCAGCACCTACATATCCACCAATAGCCAAGTATCGGAAAAATAGCCAACCAGAAATAAGAGATTCATCGGCTTTGCGAGGAGGCTATATGTAGACAAAATAATAATTTTAAAATTTACTACTACAGTTGTTTATATTTATGCAACTCCGTTTTTCATCGTTTATATTTTTACCTTGTCCATGATATCCAAATCAGGTGGATTAAAACCAAGGGCAGTGGCTGGAAGACCGTCAGTGACCAAATTAACCCAGAGAAGCTGAACTGGAATTAAAGCTTCGGGAAGACCAAGAGCGGCCGTCAAGAATATACTGGAAAGTAAATAATTTCATGTTTAATGAAAAATAATATTTTATTACTTTCAAAATATTAGTTCTTTTTCAATAAATTTACCTTACGACTTCACCAATATTAGAAGAAATAAGATAACGAATGAATTGTTTCATGTTATTATAAATAGCACGACCTTCTTCAACGGCAGCAACGATAGAAGAGAAATTATCATCTGCCAATACCATCTCTGAGGCCGATTTTGCTACAGCCGTTCCAGAACCCATAGCGATACCAATTTCAGCCTTCTTTAAGGCTGGGGCATCATTCACACCATCACCAGTCTAGAAACGCGAATACACACAGAATACGATTAAAATACCTACTATTATTATTTAAAAGTTTTTTTAAAAGTTTACATAAATCTAAACTTGTCATTACCATAGCCGAGATCTCGTTCATACTTTGTAAGTATTCAACGATCTTCGATTTGTGAGCTGGTTCTACGCGAGAAAACAGCCTAGCTCTCGCGCAAGCTAATTTCTGTTCATTTGGTGAGAGATCATCGAATTCACGTCCAGAGTAAGATTTTCCAGTTGTATCCTCATCTTCAGAGAAAACACCAATTCTTCGGCAAATAGCTTCAGCGGTGGCTTTGTTATCACCAGTAATAACAATAACACGAATACCAGCAGCACGACACCTGACAATAGAATCGAAGACTTCTTTACGAGGTGGATCCAACATACCAACGACACCAATGAACGTGAGATCTTTTTCGTAAGTATAGAACTTAGTGGAGTCACCCAAATCCATGTCATCGGGTTTCATCGGATGATCAGCGGTTGCCAAAGCAAGACAACGTAAAGTGTCTCGTCCGGTTCCGTATTGCCTCGTCAAATCCAAAATACGATTTTTCAAAGTCGATGTAAGAGGAACCTTCTGGCTACCAACACGCGCATGCGTGCACCTATCCAATACGCCTTCGGGTGCACCCTTAACAAAAAGTTTCGGTCCAGTTCCAAGTTTGCTAGGTTTCAGAGGTACACAATACGAGGACATGGATTTACGATCTCGAGAGAACTCCAATGTGAATTCCTTCTTCCATTTCGTTTCAATATCTTGCCTGACAACAATAGCTGAATTACGACGATCGAGTCCACTCTTGGACACACCATAAGGATTAACCTTTTCAGCCAAAACGATTAGAGCCGTTTCCGTGGCTTCGCCAACCTTTTCGAAAGCTTGTTTGAATTCGTTAAAGTCAATAGCCGAATCGTTACACATGATACAGATCGTACCAATCTCGTGAAGCGTCTCGAATTCTTGTCCTTTGATTTTTTGTCCTCTCAAGAAGATCTCACCAATCGGTTCGTAAGTCGATCCAGTAATCTCAAACTCGTGGAATGAGCTATCGTTGCCCTCAATTTTATCAAAAATAAACATTCTGCAAAAAAAACATATTATGTCCATTAATTAATCACTTAAATATACGCTGAATTATTAAAATACTTGATGAAAATCATATTATACCGGCTAACGGACATCTGATTCGTAGTCAACGTTCCAGTCTTGTCAGAACAAATAACAGAAGTACAACCAAGAGTTTCGACAGAAGGCAAGGATCGTACAATAGCATTTTTCTTAGCCATACGCCTAGTACCCAAAGCTAAACAAGTCGTGATAACAGCTGGTAAACCTTCAGGAATGGCAGCGACGGCAAGAGCGACAGCAATCTTGAAGTAATAAATAGCACCCTTGATCCATGATCCACCGTGAGCAGGATCGTTGAAGTGACCGATGTTGATAGCCCATACAGCAACACAAATGACGGAAATAACTTTGGATAATTGTTCACCAAATTCGTCGAGTTTTTGTTGGAGGGGTGTCTTGATCTCCTCAGTCTCGGACATTTCGGTACGGATTTTACCAATCGCGGTATTTAAACCAGTTCCAATAACAACGCCACGTGCCTTACCAGCTGCTACATTGGTACCAGAGAACAAAATGTTTTTCTTATCCTATATAAAAGAACAAATAATAATATAAAATATACGTGAAAAATTGTGTTTAATCCTACAATAAACTATATTTAAATTAAGTTGAAAACGAACCTGATTGACGGCACGTGGATCGGGAACAGGATCCGTATGTTTAATAACCGAAACAGATTCACCGGTCAGGATTGACTGATCAATCCTGAGAGTGGTCGAGAAGATTTTACTTAAACGAATATCGGCTGGGATCTTATCTCCGACAGACACCTCGACAATATCCCCGGGTACGATCTCTTTCGCTCTAATCCTTTGTACACCAGCCTTGTCACCTCGTACAACTTTACCCATTTCGGGTTCATATTCTTTCAACGCTTCGATCGCCGATTCGGCGTTACGTTCTTGCCATACACCGACCACGGCATTGGCGATAAGGATGAGCAAAATGACGAAAGGTTCGACGAAGGCCGTGAACGCATCCTCATGCTCCTCAAATAAAGCTAATACCTGATTAAAAGATAACGATTAACTATATACAATATATAATAATGTTCCATGCTCTTCGCATGAAAATAACGAAGTTTCATGGCTACGTAAAATCGATGATGTATATTTATAAAATCACCGATACTAGATATATTTATAGCAATCTATAATCCAGAGTTACCATAGAAGTGTATACTAAACGATACTTGGTTACGTACATATATATATATATATATATATATGTACTTTTTTAAAACGCGTTATCGAAACATGCGAATAAAATATTAATAAATATTATATAACTATAATTGTATAAGAAACGTTTATACACCGATAATAATTACGACAGCGTTTAATTGTCTTTTTACTAATCAAAGTAACTTTCTAATTATTACTTCTTTTTCTAAATAATTCAACTATATATGACACTATTTCAATATATATATATTATTACTTTATCGTATACGTACAAAAGAGATAATAGCGGCTAATAATAGAATCTTAACTAGGAGGTCGTCGAATTGTTCCAATACAAGTTGCCAGATGGATTTACCTGAAAAACAAAAAAAAAAACAAAAAAAAATTGGAAAAAAGAAAAATAGAAAATTAATACAATATTATAATGAATAATCAATTAAAAATTACCATTATCGTGACGATTCAAGTAAAGAAAGAAAGAAAGAAAACGATAGATTCGGCATCGAAAATTAATTAATTAAATAATTAATTAGTAGTAACGGTAGTTGGTTTTGAATTGTTCGTAATGTCAATGTAATTATATGTACGGACTCGAGTGAAATATGCCGCGTACACTCGCATAATGTTAAACAGAGGACCTGTGCATGACGATGATATATATACATTACATATATCTGCAGCACATGCATGCATGCATGCATGCAATATGTGTGAATGTATATATATCTTCGCATGTAACAGACAAACAAACAGACCGAGAGAGAGAGAGAGAGAAAACACATATGGATGAACACATTCATTAGGTCGAGCATACGCATACGTCGTCAACTCGTAATGCATTCGAAGCTTATGAAGGTAGAGGAGGAGGAGAACCCCATATACGGTTAAAGGCTGTTCCAGTTCGATAACAACGCGCTCCATCACTCACATGTTTCTCCAAATATACCGCCACCACCACCCCGCCACCCCGCTTTCCGTCCCCAACAACCCATCTGACAAACGTTTCAACCACGTGCTGCAACTTGAGTGCATATTAACACGACGCACCACTGCCGTAAAGAAGAAACAAAAAAACTCGTTGATCTTTGCGAATTCATTGACCTTGACATTTCAACAATCCTTGTTTCCACATATCAGTTAAATTAAAATCAATGGTTTCATTATAATTTTCTTATTCGTGTTGATAATTATAATAGTTATCTAATGTAAGTCAAAAAAATTGGACAAAATATTCATTTAGTGATTTATTTTATAATAAATTGTATAATATTAATTTTTGATCAATGTTTTTATTTAGCCTATTGTCATAGTTACCGTCATGATTATCTTCACATTTTTTTTTTTTTTATACCAAATTGAGATCTTTTGTAGACACATAGAAAAAAAAGTCACAATTGACTTATGGTTTTATTTTCGCTCGTATTATCGATTCTATATACATAAATACATATGTAACGTTACCTTGTACAATCCGTTAATTCGTGAAATGATAAATTAAATCCTGAAAAAACTATACTGATTTGATTAAAGATGAAAAAAAGGTAGAATTACATATTTTACTATGTAATATACGAATTTACAAGAGACGAGTAATTAAGGTGTGAAATTGTATCCGTAAATTAGATCCGATAAAACATAGCACAACTAACAGAACATTGTTTTTCAAAGCATAGGAAGAGATAAGAACGCGCGGATAACTTACTAACATTGCTGTAGAAAAAAAAGCAGAATTTAAAAATTGATTCAATTGCAATCTCATACTTTAATTACTCGCCTTTCCTAAATTCATATATTACTTCATTATTTTTTAAAACTACTACTTTTAATCTATAATAAAATTCTTTTTATATACTTTCCCCAAAAACGTCGAGTTATATTTCGAATAAAAACTAAGGTTTCTACGATTTAATTGAATTATACAATTAAACGTGCTGACACGTACATATACCTATACAGATCTTTTTGTCATAATACATAAACTATTGATATCTCGAAATATACACATTAGAATTGAAATCAATGTAAAATATGTAAATTTCAATATCTTTAACCAATTCGAAATATGTATGACGAGTATACTCGTTATGTAAAATTACTAATATTTAATGCTATTCAATGAACTTTTTATATTTAAACTATGCATCAAAGTGAATAAATATGATAATAAATTTCTAATGATAATTCTGAAATTTGAAAAAATGAAAACTAATATTAATATATTAAAAACATATTTATATCGTAATCCTAATAATAATATATATTTAATTATATTAATATAAAATATTGAAATAAATTTTTTTACTCGACGAGTATATTCATAGAAGCAACAAAAAATATTGCAATTTCTTCGTAACGAATATATTCCATATACACAATTAACGGATCAATAAATAACATTAGATCAAAGTTATTAAATAAATTTCATGACGTTTTCTAACTTTATTTTCAAATGTTTAGGAAAAAAAAAAATCGGAAATACGTGCTGTGAATCGTGAAGCCTCAACAATTTCGCGCATATCGTAATCTTTAAGAGAACCTACGACTGCCCGGATCCATTCGGCATTACGAGTTTCCTCTTCGTGTATACTACGTGCGTCATAATTGGCAACAGCAAAATAGGAACTTCGACGACGTCAGTATAAAAATTGCGTCAACGAAAAAGATCGACGGAGTTTCTTTTTTTTTTCTTTCTTTTATTCTTTTCTCTCTACTCATGCGAAGTATGCGATCGAAGATTCTATATATCTTCCTTATTTCTTTCTTTCTTTCTTTCTTTTTTTCTTTCTTTCTTGAAAACGAGAAACACAATTCGTTCGGATCAATTTTACAACTTTAACTAACGTGTGTCATCAAGTTTAACTCTTTTACGTTTTCTCGTTTGATTTTCCAATCGTATTAGTAATTATTATCTTATATGAAAAATTATAAATTGATTTTATTCCGACTGATACGATACTTATAAACTTAAAAAGGATAAAAAATCTAATTGCATTTCACGAGTTTTTTAATTCGTTTCATTCGATTAATTACTAAGGAAAAAAAGATATTCCTTTGATATAACAGACGCGAACGTATTCGCTTTCTGATGAATTTTGTTTCTTTTTGCCCCCGTCATTAACATTTGATTTTAAACAGGAATAATTTTGTGAATTTCTCAAGATGCCGATTCGATATCATTTAATCTTTACTACCTTCTTCTTCTTCTTCTCTTATACACGTAAATTTTGTGTGTGAATATTGTAAATATTTTATTGGTGACTTACCCTCCTCGGCTGGCAATTCTGAAACAGAAATCAAATATTTTCTTAATAATCAATCGTTTTAAAAAAAAACGTATGAAGATTCGAATTAATTCGCACGAGTAACATCAGTTTCTGTTTATGCAATCACAAACCACTACCCCCTCTCTCCCAAACTCCCCCAGGAACCAGAGAAAATCTAAAACTTCCCCTTTAAGATGGCCCACTTGCTGCGGGAGTTTGCCCGGGAGCCAAAGCAAGAATTCCGAATGGTGTAATCCCTGCAGCAACAGCAGCACGGAAATATACGAAGAAAAGGATTGAAAAACGTTTCGCGTATTCAACGTCGTCGAGAATTCGAAAGAAAAAAAAAAAGAAAAAAGAAGAAAACAAAAAGAAAAATTACTCTTGATGAGTTTTTTTTTTTCTTTTTTTACAGTCTAATGCCAACCCATCCCCATGAATTAGGGACGACGAGTGTCTTTCTTCGCAATTTTGCCGAAAAAAAAATGAAAATTGTTTTGTTTTTCTATCCACACACACATTTTTTTTTCTCTCTCTCAAAAATTTAAGAAGAAGAAGAAAAAAAGAACAACAATGTTTATTCACCAATAATCAATGAATTTATATAATGAATATCTATTAAAGAAATTTTCTATGTTCAAACACTTCAAGGACAAATCGTTTACGTTACATATATCTATCTCGCAGAATGATTTTATTTTATTTTGTCAAGAATATTCAAATTTTTGCAAGATATATATAAATTTTGTAAGAAATATTTTTCTTTTTTATCATACATTATATTGCGCGGCTTTTGATCGAACGTTAAGAATATTTAAAATAAATTCTACGTATGTATGTAGGTATGTATGTATGTATGTAGGTGTATACACATGAATATCTTCGAAGAGATAGAGAAAAAAAAAAATATATATATAGAAAATTTCAGATTCAACTCGAGACTAAAATACGCTAATATTAGAAAAATTCAATAACAATTTTGTTTGCTTAACCTAAAAGAAATAATATTTAATTATAGAATGAGAAAAAAAAAAAAAAGAGGGAAATCATGAAAGTGAGATAAAAAAAGAAACATAATACATAAATTCAATATACGTAAACACATTTCATGAAATGCAATAATCATCCATACGTAAATAAAATATATGTCTAATAATGTAATAGTGTGTAGGAGTAATTAGAATTTTTTTTCTAATACACACTACTAACAGGCATACCATATGCACAAAGAAAAATAAAAACGTGTGGAAAGGACATAGGTTTTCCTTGAATGGTTGAAGACTGACGTGTACGATAAGTAAGTGTTTATAACGCTTATTGTTACTTTAGAAAGCCTCTACCTTAAAGGAAAATATGTTGCACGCTTTTCCTTCAGCTTATTAAGCTCGAAGGATAACGAGATTATTGGAACGCGTCGGAAAAGGAAGAAGAGAATCGTTTTATCGATATTTCTTTTATACGTATATATATATATATTATATTTTATACATAATATTTTATATATATATATATTTTTTATATTATATATAAATATATACATATACATATAAGAAAATTATAAACGTTACTAATAAATATATTTAGTGAACGTAAAAAAAAAAAAAAAAACACTTATTTGTAACAATAAGAAAAATTCAAGTTCGTTCGGGCCGATAAAATAAAATACTCACACGTAAAACACAACAGGCAAAGCGATCATCCAAAGAGATACGAAGGTAATAACGACAATATTAACCGTAGATATTTTTATCGGCTACCCTACCTACCAACGAACAGTTTCTTTACTTCTATAACGCTTCTACTACGTGGGCAGATTATAAAAACTTCATAGCCATCGTATATATATATATATACAAACTCGCGTATGTAGACATATTAAGTATACTATGTAAGTGTGTATATATACGTCCTTGTACGTTTTAACAACGAGAAATACTTATCATTTTTAAAAATGAAATTTTAGTTATACGATATGATAAGTATTCTCACACACACACACACACAATTTATATGAGAAATAATAATTTTATATCTATGCTATATAGGAAATAAATTGAAATAATTATTTTGTTGAATGGAATGTGAAAAGGAAAAGGGAAATAGAATACACACGTGTAACTTCGATTGGTTCCAAATTTGCATCAATAAACTATATCCGATATTCACAGAGATAGAACGATATTTAGTCATTGATAGACGGTAGTTATTAGATTAATCGAATCCGACAAATCCTGCGAAATCCTATCGAGGTGTCCTATATAAATATTCATATACATCTATTCCCTGATTTACGCGGTTTTCAATAACTTTACAACAGCTAATTTTTAATTCCATTCGATTCGGAACTAGCATTTAATCTAGAAAAAAAAAAAAAACAAGAATTTTACCTTTTTGTATACACACGTAAACCATTTATGTGAATTAACCCAATATAATTCCCAGTAATTCTTTAGAAGCAGAAATTTCTGCTTTCTCTATAATCGAAATTTTTTATAACTTTATATTTATTGATTAGTAATACAAAATTATATAGTTTCTATAATATTTTGATAATTGAAATTTTATAAACTTTAGCATACTGGAAAAAATTAAAAAAAAAAAAGAAAGTTTTGCATTTAGAAACTAAAATTAAAATTTTGTAATCGTCTATGATATAGTAGAATAAAAGTAACAAAGATTGTTATATTATATTCTATAAATTAAACGACACTAAAAAAATTATATGAAATAATAAAAACTTCATTAGAAAAAGTATAGTAATTGAAACTTGTAAGAGTACGGATCACAATTTCATACGTAAAATATATTTCTATGGATAAAAAATTAAACTTATAATTAAATTTAATTAAATATGTAACTAAATTTTAGTTTTTTTTTTTTCAATATACACGATATTCTAAGAAATTGATCTTATGTGTACATGTATATGTGAATAAATAAAAGAACAAGAGTTAACCAGAACTGTGGACTGATTTGTTATGGAAAAGATCGATCGGTAGTCGTTCATACAATGACGATACACAAAACGTTATGCTATACGAGAACAATAAATGTGTATGTGTGTATGTGTATTGCGTGGGTAAAAAAAATGCGAGCTTTGTCGCGAAAAAAATGCATGCAAGAATTCTCGTGCATTTATACATCAGTCATCGTATGTGATACTATCAGTGAAAAGTTTTGTTCGTGTGTTATTTTAACAATCTTCAAAGAGACTCTTCTACCCTACTTCCTATTCCATTTACATTTTACAAGAAACTTATATGATGACAACTTTTCACACACACACACACACACACACTCGATAGTACGCATCTTCTCTATAGGGTATAACTTACATACTTTCCATTTTGTTTTATATATACATATATAGAAATTCTTTCAACAATTTCCGCGTTAACTCAACCAACACCAAAGCTTCTTATTACTATTCTTTTAAAGTATTAAAAAGCTTGATATTCGATCGTATCACGTTTGTATATCCGACGACGTGGAGAACATTGACTTTTCTTTTACCTTTTATAATTTTATTTCAAAAMAAAAAAAAAAAAGAACGTTTACTTATAAAGAAGAGGAAATTTTGGTAATAATGTAATATTAAAAATGGCAACAACAACAACAACAAAAGAAATAATTTCAAACAAAACTACGTGAGATTTGATTTCATATAATAAAAATGAAAAAAAAAAAAATTAAATAAATTAATTAAAAAAGGATAAATAAAAAAAGAAAAAAATTATTAAACAAACAGCGTTGCACCTTGCAATCTTAAAGAGTGACCTTAAATCGAGTTAACCTCGTTTAACGCGTTAACTCTTAACGCAATTCCAGCATCAACGCTTTGCTAAGATTGATTAGTACGTAAATACATACGTACGTGTATATATATATGTACTTTTGTCATCTGCTTTTTTTATTACATTAGTATGTAACGCGAATGTGAATTAATATAACGGGACGTATACGACTATGTATTAATAAGCGGCTCATTTCCAATAACCCGTTACGTTAACAAAAATTAAAATTCAAATATTTGTGCAATATATAAATGAAACGTTTTCTCAGAATATGAAAAAAAAAAAAATAAAACAAATTATTTATCATAGATCATTAAAAAAAAGACAACTGAAAATTGTCAATCAAATATCTCAACGAGGAATGAAATGACAATTTCATTTAAATTCCTGAAAAATAAAATATTCATGGATTATAAAAACAGATGTCATATAATATAACTGGTAAATAAAACTGAATTTAACATAACAGTTAAATTGGACTAATTTGTATACCATTTTCTACATATACACTTTTATCACATCGATTTTAAAATTAAAAGTCAGAAAATCAGGAAATGAGTGATATTTTTGTAAACTATTACAATCGATTCAAAACAAAAAAATTATATGAAAGTGAAATGAGCAATTTTATTACAGTGTTTGAAAGATACGTTATCTTTCATCGCAAAAGTGTAAGCAAACCGTAAAATTTTGTGTCACAGTATAATTTGTTAACTGTAGGAGAAAGGATTACAGTATAAAAATTTTTCTAAAATGTTTTCTTTGTACTTCAAGTTACTAGTGTTAATTTGAAAGAAAAAAAAAAAAAAACAAATAAATCAGTAATAATTGGACGTATATTTTCTCCTTCGTATTAAACGTATTATTTTGTAACGAATATTTAACCATAAAAATATCAAGGAATTCATAACATATGATGACGTTAGCAGAAAAAATAAAAAATATATATTGAAAACATCATTTCAATGTGCAGAAACTTTTTCAAACTAAAGATAACATAGAAAAAGAATGATAACCTATTTGACACAATCGACGTGTTAGAATTTTCCGACAAGGATAAAGAGGAAATGATATATTTTAATTAAAATAAAAGAAAAACAAATTTTGTGCCATCAATTTGTTAAGGTTCTTTCACTCATTATACCCCCACACACACAATTTAATATCAAAATTAATTATTACTTATATTTAATTAAAAAAAATATAACCTTTTTTTTTAGGAAA